GAGCACATTAAATGGTTGATATCACCCCACTTTTCAGGATTCTCTACAGAGAAAATTCGTTTGATTAGGGGGATGTCTAGGCAACAGTTGTCTTCAATTCTCAATGTTGGAACATCTTTGTTGCAACATGTTAGCTTGAATTGAAGCAGATTGTTTAGCATTCATTAGAAGCTATCAGTTAAAACTAAGAGCAGAAATAATACAGGTTAATCTTGACAACGCAAATAGAGATATTTAAAATTAGTTTATAACAAGTGTTTAAACAACTCTAAGATGTAGGCCTAACTAGAATTACTCGAATTTAAGCATGACGTTTTCCTCGGCGTTATGTTTCATACTATGCGGCTCATTGAGCCGCACGGGTCCTCTAGTTATTCATCTATTATTGGCATTAGTAGGTGTTGTGACTTTGAATTAGAGTTCATAATAAGCACGCATTTGAAGAAACTCTTTTATTGAAAGTAATATTTACAACTGCAAATTGAAAAGGTAAACATTAATTAATAATTAATTACAACAGCTGATAGTATACAGTATAAAGAATACTACAGTAGGCCTACAGCTTTACATAAGAATTATTTTTTATAGGGCCTAAAATAGTAATAGGCTAAGCAACATAACAAGTGGAGAACTCATTGAAGAAAAGATGTGGTGTAAACTGATTTACTATAAACTCAAAAACAGTAATTAACAAACAAATTGCTTATGGTATAATTAATTAGGAAGGACTGTAAAAATTGCATATCATGTCATACAGTAGTATAGATAGACCTACTGCAAGAGAATAAAATTTAAAAACAACTGATTTTGATAGCTAATAAATTAAAAGAATTAAAAATTTAGGTGCCCAAAAAGGAACTCTTAACTACTATATAGAGGATTATATTAAATCAAGAGAAAAGAAAAGTAAAAGAAAAGAAATGCCAACTTTGCAACATAAGCAGAGCAACTAGTGCCCTTAGCAACACAAGTCAATGTTTTTAAACTGTAAGTCAATGTTTTTGAAACAGCAGGGTCTTTTTCTCAGAAGGATTGGAAGGAAGGGTAGGGCAGGAAGGGTAAACAAAAAAAAGATGAATCACTCTCACCAGCCAGGCCCGGGTTGCACTCAAGGTCATAGACCCTCCCCCTCCCCTCTTACACCACCAGTTGCTCCAATTAATTGCTGACAAAATTGTATAATGAAACAGGAAGTAAAAAAAGATATATTTCTTTATTCAAAAACATAAAACTGTTACAGATTACTTTCAAAGAAATTAATTCATGGTAGTTTGTGTCTTGTAAATATTTTATTTTACCTCAGACATTTTTGAAACCCCATCTAACTTAAGAAAAAAGTAATTTTACTGTTATAAAACTTTACTAAAATTATAAAACATTTAGGCCTAATCTCTTTGTTGACTTACTTGCTGATGCCGAACAAGGCGATCAGAAGTAGTGTTGTTACTGAATGACAAAAAGGACAATAGGAAAATAAAAGAACAAGATACAGAAACAGATCTGTACACTATATCAGATATTTCTTTATTTTATAATTTATTATGTAAAATACAAAAATGTAATTTTAACAATAAATAATTAAACTAGTACCTCTGGATAGATAGCCTTTCTTTTTACTTTGTTTTCTTTGCACTCGCAGGGCCGTCCCTAGGGAGCAAACGTGGTCGAGGAGCCCCCTCCACCCCCCCCCCCAGTATTAGTCGCATTCGCATATCCTATACTCTAATACGAGCAATGTTTGCTTGTATGTATGTATGCTTGCTTGCTTGCAGAAAGATCTCAAAAACGGCTCCAACGATTTTCTTCAAATATTGTAAATAGTTTATTTCTGGCCTAAAAACGAGTTTACTGCGGTTAGAACTGCCAACAAAAATAAAATTACGTAGAAAAATGAAACTGAAAGTCACATTTTTTAAACATTAGTCTTATGGGTTGCTAAGTAACCATCTTGGCTGAATTTAATAACAAGGACAAAGTAAACAAAAGACTTGTAAGTTGTCTATCCACAGTATACTAGCAAAACAAAATACAGTACAAAAGGAAAAACATCAGTTGTTACTATTGAGCAAAGATTATACTGAAGATTACTCGATACATTGTAGTCAAGGGTAGCAGTATGGAGTGTGGGATCTGTTTATGACGATTAGATTACGGTATCTGCAATCGTTAAATGCTATGGGAAGGGAGGGAAACAGGTCCGTGACGTAGGAAGTGGTGAAGGAAGTAGTCAAGGCGAGTAGTCAGGAGTGTGGGAACTGTTTTTGAAGATAAGCTTAAGGTATCTGCAATCTTAAAATGCTATTGGAAGGGAGGAAAACAGGTCCGTGACGTAGGAAGTGGTGAAGGAAGTAGTCAAGGCGAGTAGTCCGGAGTGTAGGAACTGTTTATGACGATTAGATTAAGGTATCTGCAATCCTAAAATGCTATGGGAAGGGAAGGAAACAGGTCCGCGACGTAGGAAGTGGTGAAGGAAGTAGTCAAGGCGAGTAGTCTGGAGTGTAGGAACTGTTTATGACGATTAGATTATGGTATCTGCAATCTTAAAATGCTATTGGAAGGGAGGAAAACAGGTCCGTGACGTAGGAAGTGGTGAAGGAAGTAGTCAAGGCGAGTAGTCAGGAGTGTGGGAACTGTTTTTGAAGATAAGATCAAGGTATCTGCAATCTTAAAATGCTATTGGAAGGGAGGAAAACAGGTCCGTGACGTAGGAAGTGGTAAAGGAAGTAGTCAAGGCGAGTTGTCCGGAGTGTAGGAACTGTTTTTGAAGATAAGATAAAGGTATCTGCAATCATAAAATGCTATGGGAAGGGAGGGAAATAGGTCCGCGACGTAGGAAGTAGTGAAGGAAGTTGTAAAGGCGAGTAGTCCGGTGTGTGGTAACTGTTTATGACGATTAGATTAAGGTATCTGCAATCTTAAAATGCAATGGGAAGGGGGGGAAACAGGTCTGTGACGTACTAAGTAGTCAAGGCGAGTAGTCCGGAGTGTGGGAACTGTTTTTGAAGATTAGATTAAGGTATCTGCAATCTTAAAATGTTATGGGAAGGGAGGGCAACAGGTCCGCGACGTAGGAAGTGGTGAAGGAAGTAGTAAAGGCGAGTAGTCCGGAGTGTGAGAACTGTTTATGACGATTAGATTAAGGTATCTGCAATCCTAAAATGCTATGGGAAGGGAAGGAAACAGGCCCACGACGTAGGAAGTGGTGAAGGAAGTAGTAAAGGCGAGTAGTCCGGAGAGTGGGAACTGTTAATGACGATTAGATTAAGGTATCTGCAATCCTAAAATGCTATGGGAAGGGAAGGAAATAGGCCCACGACGTAGGAAGTGGTGAAGGAAGTAGTAAAGGCTGGCATCGCTGAGTGTGGGAACTGTTTATGACGATTAGATAAAGGTATCTGCAATCCTAAAATGCTATGGGAAGGGAGGGAAACAAGTCTGTGACGTAGGAAGTGGTGAAGGAATCCGGAGTGCGGGAACTGTTTATGACGATTAAATTCAGGTATTTGCAATCTTAAAATGCTATGGGAAGGGAAGGAAACAGGCCCACGACGTAGGAAGTGGTGAAGGAAGTAGTTAAGGCGAGCAGTGTGGTGTTTGGGAATGGATTAATTTTTCTGCAATACTAAGACTGCTTTCATAGTAAACTAATGATTTTACCAAGCAAAGCTCGGTCCCCAGGTACTTTTAATACTATCTTAATACAAATAGACACTGCGCGGCGCCCCCTCAGCCGCGGCGCCCGGGGCAGCTTGCCCCGGTGGCTCCCCCCTTCGGACGGCCCTGTTGCACTGTTGCATCACGGCTTTTGTTTTGTCAGTAGATGACTGGCTCTGGCTAGTGACAGTGCTGAATTTCCCTGTTATGTCTTTATTCTTAAACGTGAACAAACTTAATATTTAATTCTCATTTTAACATTTTAATTCCTTTTGCAAGAATAGATATAAGAGTGTTTCTTTGAAAATAAAATATTATTCTTTTTTGGCCCGACCCGACCCGAAAAATTCGGGGACCCGCAGAACCCTATATATTAGAAGAACTTGTATTGCTGGAAACGTCAGTGAGCTGCTTTACTTGCCTATTTCATAATTTTTACTTGTAGAATCATATTGTTAAGCATATTACCTATTTTATAATATTGATTTAAAAAATAAACATATGTTTTGGTGTAAACAAATAAAAACATTTGCAAGATTTATACTAAAACTTTCAATTGGTTCAAATTGATAAAATGAGAGGATAGAATCAGACCTACAAACTACAAGGAATAAATAGCGGACAAAAAAAAATACCAAATTTATCAGTCTAAAACTCTTTTTCTAGTTAAGTATCAAGTTACAATTTTTTAGACCTGTGTTATTTTTAGAATGATTTTGGAGTGACTTGTTTTGGCTATTACAGTAGTAAAACATGTCTCACACTGCTTACACTTAACAAAACTCCTCATCATTTGCAATATAAAAAAAAAATTATGAAACAATTAAAGCAATATTTACAAGCAAAGAATTAATTAAATAAGAACGCCTTCGCAAAGGAAACGTAACATCAACACGCTCCTGTATTGCGGGTATTGCGTTGACTTTCTGCAGGCGTTTTTCGTATATGGATACTGAATCCCTCATGAATTGAATCGTTTTTTGATCACCACTGAATCGAATCGCGATTCGATGCATCGAATTGAGTCGGAATTTCGATGCACTCTCGATACATCGCACACCCCTAATCTAAACATACACATAGCGAGATGATCGTGTTTGTAGAATGTTGAACACATGAATATGAGTAACATTTTTAAAGGTTGTTCACTAATAGTTCTCTATGGTTATACCACTACTCTCAATCAAGTAACATTGATTTATACAAGCTAGAATTAACCTCGGAACTAACTGTTTTGTTTTAAAAAGTTGCACTGCATTCAGTGGACCTAAGGCTAAATGGTAATTCATGTGGTAATTTAGTTTGTAAATCATTCACATAAGACATAAGATAGGCATAAGTCTTACCCAGCTCTCAGGTTCTCAAAACACTTTTTGTAGAAGCTATTTTTGTCCGCAAGTTGATCTGTTGGAATCTTGCTTAGGAGAGGAAGGAGATTTGGAAAAATGAGACTGGCATTGCCGTCAGCTCCTTCCCGCAGCACTTTGAATAGCTTGGGCATCACTAGCTTCTCAAGGCTCACATGTTTCCATACATCCTGTGAATAGGAAAAAGAAGTTTATGAAAAATAAAATATATTAAGTTTAATTTCCATTCTCCTTCAAATCTTCTTCACAACTCTCTGCCGTTCAGCAAATTTGCCCTATAGAGAAGAAGTATTATCGTAGGTGACATGGTAAGACCTAAACGCAGGACCGATTTACTTTTTCATTTCGATGTTACCAGAGGCAAAAAAAAAAATATTCTTTGAAATTGATACACGGTATATGGATAAACTTTCATAAGTTCGTGAACCAGCAACATCGGGAAGTAGAACGGGTTGTTATATAATTTTTACATTTGGCAAATTTATTTTGTTCATACTATGATGGTAAATTCTAGCAAATCTTAAAAATGCAATTTGGCAATAATGAGAAACAAAATAGATTCTGCACTGTTCTATGTCATCATGACTGTAATCTGTGATCAAGGCACAATCATTACTATCTACTGCGATTGTAGAGGAATCATCTGTCATCGCCACCTGACATAGGGTTCAGAATTGTGAACATCCTCCACGATTGCAGAGACAAAATCATCTTCTTCAGCCATATTGACAAAAACATGGATATCTCCCGCATTCGCAGGGATATCATAATCATCTCCCGCAATCATAGAGATAATATCATTCTCATTTAAAATCCATATTTTTTAGCCCCTGAGCTGATCTTGTGACTAAATCAATAAATAAGGTTACCTTCGTCAATCAGCTCATAGAAGTTGTAACATTGTTACGGCCGTTTCAGCATATCCATGCCATCATCAGACGTTCAGCCTTAGTGGCGTCGTTAATATACAAAAACACAAACTGTCACACGCGACGTACACATACATTAACATAAACGGGAGTTTTTGACTAAACAGGCCTGTTGATTACACATATCCGCACAAGAGCAAGTTGCTGACTGGAGTCATTCTTGCGGTGTCGTGTCAGCGGCGGCATTATCATTTGTACTTTGCCCTCTTGGTCTTGAATCCTTCCTCTGATTTAAAATACTATTGAAAATTACGTGTGATTTGAATTGTAGTTTTTCATTTAAAATAAGTTCGCTATTGTCATTTTTTGTATGTGCTTTGTAAATTTCAAATTCTTCCAGGGTGTCCAATTTATTGCCTTTTGTACAAGTGTGAAGGATTTCCAAGCCAGTGTTGAGGTCATTTAGGTTGTGATTATTGTCCATTAGATGTTGGGCAAATGTAGACTTTTGTTTGTCAGCTTTCGGTTTCGGATGATGCTCCTTATATCGAGTTTTAAAAGTGCGCCCCGTTTTTCCTACATAAACACTAGGACAACTAGCACATTTAATTCTGTATACCCCTGACCTGTCACCCTTATCAATAACCTTTCTCGTAACATTAAGTTTGTTAATAGTCTTGTTATTTGTCCTAAAAGTTAACTCTACACCATGTCTCTTTAATTCTTTACCCAAAAACCATAAATATGTTTAAAAAATCCCTGAAGATTTCGCGAAGATATTCCTAATGATAATTAATTCTTCAAATAATCTTTTATACTAAAAAAACTTTTGCAAAACTTATGACAGCTAGCCTGACCATACTACTGGACCGAATTACACGTGGTTGGTGCCAAATGAAAGATATTTTCCTGAAGATGTGCAGAATCCCTTTATAAATTAAGTTAGGCTCCAAAATAAACACAAAAAATGAATTTGAAATTTTAAAAAATTTATATGGGCCTTATGGGTTGCCAAGCTGGTGACAAAATAACAACAAAATATAAACAGAAAATCAAAACAAATTCCAATTACATGTTTTAATTACAGTGTGGGGTGAAAATAGAGAAGTCTGTACACTACATTACATATTTTTAGTCGAGTTTTCTAGGAACCAATAAAAAATAAACTTTTCATATGGAGATTTAACATGGGACTAATTCTTAAGCTTACGACAGCCACCCTAAACATACTAATGGACCAATTTACACACGGTTGGTACCAAATTAAAGGTAATTGTCTGTTTATTTGCCCATTTTGCCTCAATTTCAGATATTACTCAATTAAATGTTATATAACGGAAATTAACCCTTCCAGGGCTAAATTAAATGAAGGGCTGGAGCTTAATTATTTTTTGACAAAAATTAAAAACTAAAGTGGTTGTGTTTTGTATTTATTTCACTTGAATTAATTCATGGATCATAAAAATATTTTCCTTAGGGCTGAAATAATTTTTGTACAAATGTTATGAAGAAAATAAAATTTGATTTGACGGATATATCCGTCTTTGGCCCACAAAAAACATAAGGTGGACGGACATATCATTCTGCCGTCCTCAGTGATAATCACAAAATATGAACACTGCCAATATTCTTGAGTATTTTTGTGGGCGGCAGACGGATAGATCCAGGGCCGGCCCCAGGGGTGGGCGGACCGGGCGGTCGCCCAGGGCGGCGGGGCCGGGGCAGCGGAGCCGGGGTGGCCGCGGCAGAGCCGTGGCGGGGAAGCCGGGGCTGCGTTAAAAATAATGTTTTAACGTATGCAATGAAATAGTGAACCTTTTTAATTATACTTCTATTATTGTATTAAGCTTGTTTTTCGAAAGTATACTTTCAATATCAATAAATCGTAAATAAACTGCAATGCCAGTGAAAGTAGTATGGTTTTTGCGCGCAAAACAAAGTACAGACACAAGTCACGGAAGGTCAACAGCCTTAGCCTATCCGCCTCTCCCCCTACCACCACCACTTCACCTTTTACACCTACCTAAAATTAATCGTTTTAACGTGAGCAATAAAATAGTTAATCAAATGTCATGCCCATTGTACTAAGCTTGTTTGTTTGTACGTATACTTTCATTATCGATGAATAAATGGTAACAGATAAACTACATGTCGGTAGCAGTGGTGGGGTTGGATATTTGCGCGCCAAACAGACGTGAGTCACAGGACGTTCCGCGTTCACGCGTTCAACCGCCCATCGACACCCTCCTCCTCTACCCCGTCACCCACACTACGCTTGATCTGTCGTCTGGTGTTAATTATTGTGCCAGTGTGTTTTTATGATTTTCGTATTCCGTGGAGTCTCATGAGTGTTATTTTATGTCGAAACAAAGTAAACTGATCGGGGTTTTCGCTCCGAAGAGAAAGATTTGATGGCGTTAGCTGGTGTGGCAATGGAACAACGAAGTTAAGTGATTTTATTACTCACCTTTGAAATAATTTTTTTTTAATAGGCCAAGACCCGTTAAGATATTAATTAAAATATTCAGTGTTAAAGTGTTACAAAATTGCATAAAATTGTATTAAGTATTAACACCAGATTTCACTTCCTAAACGCTTAAAAATAGTGTTTAGAGAAGTTATTTTCTAACATTTTCCGGGGGAGGACCCCCGAACCCCCCTTACTTAAGATTTGAGACCAGTGATCACGTGTCTCAATACAATGCTCTCCTAAATTATAGTCATATATGTATACAGTATGCATTTAAATGGTCTGTTTTAACAAGTTTTCGGGGACGTTGGTTTAACCGGAAAAACAGTTATCTAGACTGGCCTTGGTCCCGAGGAGTCCGGATAAGAGGGATAAGATAAAATAAGAGGGAGTCTACTGTATACTCTTATCCGGACTCCTCGGGACAGAGGCCAGTCCGGATAACGGGTTTTCCGGTTAAACCGACGTCCACAAAAACTCGTTGAGTTAAAACGGACTGTTTATTGTGATATTCGACTTAAATTTAGGAGAGCATTGTATTTAGACACGTGATCAGTGGTCTCAAATCTTTCCCACGAGAACAGACGTTTCAGTACTGCCCACTTCCTGCCGATCTAGTCCGGTTAAATCAATGTGCTGATACAAATTTTCCGGTTAAAGAGATGTCATTTCCGCCGAGTGTAGTCCGATTAAACCGATGTTTGGTTAAAAGGTGTCCGGATAAGAGGGAGTCTACTGTAATGCAGTGTAATGTTTATTACCGTATTATAAACGTTGTATATCAATTCGTTTTTTGGACGGATATATCCATCTTTGGCCCAGAAAATAAATTTCTTGGGACACATATATCCATTTTCAGCCCAGAAAGAAAACAAAGATTGACGGATATATCCGTCCCTAGCCCTGGAAGGGTTAAAATCTCTCGACAATTTAACATGGGGTAAAATTTTAAGTCTATTAGAGTGAGATCTGGAGTTCTATTGGACCGATTTACATGCAGGTTGTGTTAAATGAAAGGTAATTAACTTTATATTTTCCCATATGTGTAAACTGTTCAGTTTACTATTCCTATATTTAATCTTCTAAAAATTTAATTTAAAATATTTTCTAATCTTTAGTATTGTGTTCCTGATCGTCTGAATATAACAACACAGATCAGCTGATTATAACGAATCACGTTTTATTGTCATAACATGGTTTGTTTATGGTATAATTTACTTTCTTTAAGTAGGTTAGTAGTTATTTTACGTATATGGTGAATGACAACGACAACCATGACTACTTATAAACATTTTGACATTTGACATAACTACAAGTACAATTAATTATTGTAGATGGAAACTGTTTATTCAGAAGTGTTTCCTATTGTTTACATGGAAAACAAGAAAATCATTATGATACTCGACTAAAGTGTGTAAGTAACGTAATGAAACAATGGAATCGATACAGGAACTTCATAATAGGCGATCCAACATACAGACAGAACTTTAAGATATGGAATTCAGCAGATTACGAAAGAGTTATGACTATTTTTAGACAATATGTCGGACATGTTGAATTGTGTAGTTTAAGTGATTTGTATCCTGATTGTGTCTTCAAAGTACATTGTGCAACAACCAATATTGTATATGACTATGGTAATGGACACATGACGTACAATTTAGTCTTCACAGGTGGTGTTGACTTATATATTTAAAAAGTTTTGCAAAACTTATGACATCTAGCCTGACCATTCTACTGGACCGAATTTCAAGCGGGTTGTACCAAAAGAAAGGTTATCGGTCCTATATGTGCAGGTTTTAGCGAATTTCCAATATGGGGAATAAGCTATTACTGTAGTACTCATGGTAAGACTTGGCCCCGGACCAATTTATTTTTTTGTTTTGAGGTCCCTGGAGGCCAAAAACACCATCCGTTCAAATTCATATTAATATTTATATAAATATAAATATGAAAAATAGAAAAATAGGGCTACTATATATAAATAAAGATTAAACATTAAATATAAATATATATACATGTATGTGTTTGTGTGTGTGTGTGTACGTCAGCATGATAACTCGGGCAAAAATGATCCAATTTTGATGAAATTTGGTACAAATGTGTTAACCTACATTTATTTTAACTAGTGTACATGTTGCTTGAAATCGAGCAATTGCAAAGAAGTAAAGTAGTTATTTAAAAACAAATAACTTACTTAAAAAACTAATAAAAGTCACAATTTCCTATCAGTTTAAAAGACTCAAATCATAGATTACGTACCTAACAGTTCCATATAATCAACATTTCTTGTAAATATTATATTAATTTTTAAAAGTTGATCTGGTTTTTTAGTGAATTTTACAAATATTCCCCACTTAAAGCCACATTAGGTTGTCCATGTTGATCTTCGTCAATGATAATGTAGTCTGCATGGTACAACTCATTGTCGCCAGTACGTTTACAAATTTGAGTAATTTTTTTATAACAATAACATTTTGTATACATTACTTAAGAACTGCCTCATTTTCTGCATAACCTCTCTAGCACAATTGTATTTGCTTCAACTGGCAATAATTTGTCTAGTTACTGTTATAACGTAAGTTATATCATTGAGTATACACGTCTACTCAATGGTTATATTTTGTTCAGATGGTTTTTTGTTTCCCTTAGATATGAATAATGCAAATCCTTCAATGAAAGTTTTATTAAGGTTTCTTGGAGGTTAGTAGTGATATTATTTTAAAATCACTTGACTTTTATGAAAACATATATTTAATGTCCTTGCCGTACCAGTTTAATTCAGCCTTAGAGTGTTTTCCTTTGCCAATCATCAAAAAGTTAAGTCGGTGTTTCCTACAAAATAGTAACACTTCGGCTAACATCCTTGTTCATTGTTTATGGGAATCTTCATATTGTAGGTGTTCTTCATTATATAGGAGGTAAAATATATCAAATTGCCCTGGCTTTCTCGATTTTTTACATTGTAAATTAAAGTAGTAAATATTTAATTACCCAATGCGTTTAGTTGAATTGAAAAATAAATAACAGCAATTAAATTATACAGCTGATCAAAATGTAAACAATTATGTTCTTCATAAGGATAACATGGGAACTTTCAAAGCCACTGGGGTGTAGCCAAAGGGACTTTAAAAAAAATGTAAGGCCAGTTTGCAAATCTACGTGACACGCTCTTTCCAATGAGACGTCAATGGATAAATCGGTTAAGAGATGGCGGAGGAGTTCAACCGACAAACTTTCATGTAGCGTATTAGTTCTATAGATGAATTTGCAAACCAGTGAACTGCGCCCTCGTACCTGCACCCAGGCCAACGACTTGGAAGCGTGAATCCATGTGCAGGCCCGAGGAGCGGCCCACCAAAAAAAAAAAAAAAAAAACAAAGTGAGAACCATGGATGGAGGTCCAAGAACAACGCACTATTTGAGAGGAACGAGCTGTAATTAACCATTTAAATAAACACAACAACACAATAACAAGAATACATAACTCTGGAAAAATAATTTTTATATGAATTTGTTACCCATCTAGAATACTATCTTACAGTAATTTCTTTAATCATCAAAATAGGCTAATTTCTAAATAAGACTATACCAGCTTTTACTTTTCAAAAATTCTTTTTAAATTAACAAATATATAACAATAAAAATATATATAGGCTATTTATTTTCTTTCAATAAATCCATATTAGTCTGATAACAAAATTTAACTTTTAGGGGCCCCAAAACCAGAATGAATTTAAAATATGAATATTTAATAAAATTTTAAAAGGTCAACAAGTAGGCTAAAGACTGTAGAATTAAAATACCCCCGCCGCAGCAAACCTGCGGACTAAGCGAATTTCCATTTGTCTGAATTGATTTTCAGTGAAATATATTTTAATAACATTAGGTTTAACGAGTACCTAGGTTTGCTGCTACAAGGAAACTAATAAAGTGTGTTTTTGAGTAAAATATTGATAGCTTAGTACAAAATAAATAAATTTGCCAAGTTTGATCAAAATATATTCATAAACAAGCAAACTACAACATTTGACAATATTCTCCATAAGAATAACATGGGAATTTTAAATTTACAATTTTTTTAATTTTCTCCGTTACTAATAATTGAACAAAAATACTTTTACATACCAAATTATTTTTTTCTTTAAGCTCTTTAAAAAGGTCTAAAGAGAAATTGGGAAATTTTGTGTTTTGAGGGTCAAAAGTGAGAAAAACCAATTTTTACCCCATAAAACCCCCCGTAGAGCCCCGTTCCCATGGTCCGATCGTGCTGGTTCGCGAACTCATTCAAGTGTATCCCGCTTTACACCTTTAAACCAAATTTCATCAAAATCGGACAAAAATTACTCAAGTTATCGCGTTCACGGACGTATATATATATATATATGTCTATATATATATATATATACATATATAAAAATTTGAACGAATAGTGTTTTTGGCCTCTGGGGACATCAAAATGAAAAAGTAAATCGGTCCCGGGTCTAGGTCTTACCGTGCCACCTACGGTAATAGCTACTTCCCTATAGGGAAATTCGCTAAAAAGAAACAATGAATAAACTATGTAAATGCATAACAATAATTAAAAACATTAAATAGAGTCTCTTCCTTTTTACACGGGCTAATCATTATTTTTTTTCTTTATATAAAAAAAACTTATGCATAAAAAATATCACAAAACGATCAGGTAACTTGCGGATGGACGGTAACGGTTCATGGATCTTCAGGTGCACAACACTGGAGGGCCGCTGAAGTTGGACAGAGAGGGGGGCGGCCTGAGTCCCAAAAAAGGCCCCCACGATGATGAGGTTTCTCCGCCCACGCTACAGGTGTCAAAGCTGACGGTAGTCCTCCTGGGCCCCATCAAGCGCGCTGGGCGCTCTTAATTTACAGCATGACCTCGCAGACTAAACCCATGTTGAAAAACAGAAACAACTTTGCACTTTTAACGTAGCAAAATGCGATTTAAAACGATGAAAACTGTCTGCGAGGTTAACTTGTTGAGCGTCGCGCAACCTATGACAATCCCAGCACAGGGGAGAAAAAGTGACGCACAGAGTCATAGAGGTTCGTTGGAACAGTAAGAAATCGAAACACAAACTAACCTACTATACAAAAAACAATTTGACCGTTGATTATGAGTCGTGACATTCGCCAGTTTATGGGGGGTTTTATGGGGTAAAAATTGGGTTTTCTTATATTTTTACCCAAAAAACATAAAATTTAGCGTTATTATGTATATAAATATGTATATTGAAGCATTATTATGCGCCTAATGGTTACGGAGAAAATTCCAAAAACTTGTAAATTTAAAATTCCCATGTTATTCTTATGGAGAATAAGTAAACGGTTGTAGTTTGCTTGTTTATGAACATATTTTGATCAAATTTGGAAAATGCATTTATTTCTTACTAAACTATTAACATTTTACAACAAAAAACCACTTTCATCCTCCCTGTTGCATCAAACCTAAGTACTCGTTAAAATAATTATATTTAAATACAAGGGAATAAATGTGATATTTTTAAGGAAACATTTTAGTGTAAATCCAATCAGGCAAATGGAAATTCGCTTAGTCCCCATATTCGCTGCGGCGGAGGTATTATTTGTATTTTGAGAATATTTATGTTAATTGGGTCAAAGAATGGAAATTCAACTTTTCTTATGGTGATTAACATGGGTCTAATATAAACAGAAAATCAAAACAAATGGAAGAAATTTAATCACATTTTTTACTTACAGCGTGTGGTGAAAATAGAGAAGTTTGCACAATACATACTTTTGGTCGAGTTTTCGACCACCAGGCTAGCTCTCTTATGAAATTAAATTAAAAGTTATTTATTTGCTATACATACCAAGAGCCTTACACTATCTCAGAGATACAGTATGAATAGAAAATCTACAATTTGTGGTAGGTAAAAAAATGTAAATTACCTCAACAACAGAAAACAAAAGTAATGCAGCTTGCCATACACTGGAAACCACTGTTGGATCAGTCTCGTCAATATTGGAGAAGACAGCCATACAGGCATGCTTGGCTTCCTGAGACAATAGAAATGGGGCCTTCTCACACAGGGCGACTAATGCTGTGAACCAGGCAGCTCTCACCTGCAAAACAGTCCCTGCAGTCAGTAACTTACATCTAGACATTATTCCTTTTATAGTTGTTTTAAGATATTTGTTATTTATGTTTTTCTACTTAATGTGTAAGGAATAAGATATGGACACATAGTAAGCTAATAAACTTAAAAATATTCTGCATAGAATGATTTATATCTACAATTTTGAAAGGAAAATTCTCAGTAGTTAATAACAACATAAAATATTTGTATTTTCTTATTTTCTCTAAAGATTGATTGCTACTTTATCACTCTTTGTTTATTAGGATAACCTACTAAAGGTGCTGGATCCTTGTTGAATCTCCAAAACTTGGGAGAGGAGACCAATCGTAAGTTGGCCTCTTCAGCCTTGCGCAAGTGTTCCACAGGAAGTTGTTGTAGGTAAAGAGCATATCCATTCAAACAACTAACCACCACTCGTTGGTATCTTGCATCCTTCATTTCTTGGCTGCAGTTCCTACAGAAAAATGTCTGTATTGTTTTAAGTTATTAGTAGTGATCTGCGGTACAGAAAATTAAAGGTCGGTACGGTACAACATTTTGTACCTCGGTTCTCAGTACAAAATCGCTACGGTATAGGGCTACCATTATTTTTTTATATTTTCTTCTCAGAATAGTATTTTTAAACCAATATTTTAAATTTAATACATTGACATTACTATGAAAATGGATACAGTAGAACCCCTCATATCCGGCCTTGGTTTTACCGGTCCTCTGTTTATCCGGCCCCTTCCAGGAAGCCAATAAGAAAATGTTTTCTCGCATCTTACAGACATTTAGATGCAAGCACTAGTCTTTGCGTTTACTCAAGTCATAAAATGAATTGTTCTCACTATTTATCTGTTTGTTTATAATTTATTTACTGTGTCACTATACTCAGTTGAGCTAGTAGGCCTAACCTCTGAACAGTTGGTTGATTATTTTCCAAAGTGGGGTTAGTACAGTACAGTACCGTACTGGTACATTAATCTTTGTATTTCACTAAGTGGATAAGAAAGTTGAGTAACTTATAAATGCATGTACCATTTAAGTCCTAATGATCTTCAAGTCCAATTCATTGTCATTTTACCTCCATTATTGTTTAATATTTTTTGTAGGCCTACCTGGAATCATAGTATTTGTACTATCATTACTTAACGACTTTAGCTTACAAATAATTTTTTTTTTAAGTTATAAACATGTTTATTCTTCTAAAAATAATCCCAGAACAGACTTGAATGATACTTTTGACTGCATATATTGATTTCATAATGTAGTTGTTTTTCTAAACCACGTTAGCTAATCAATAAAAGGTTACATTACCTGCAGACTGCCTTGTGGGTTTTGTTAATCCAGTAGGATTACGTACGTTTCGGCAAATATATTGCCATCATCAGATCCAGAACTTGAAGGTTAAAATCTTGATTTTTCGACACACATGGTCACGTCAAAGTTTAAAATAGAACACATACACAAAACGAACATTAAATACATGTAGGCCTACTATTAAAAAACCGAACAGGATGTAATATGATGCAAGCATCTCTCTTGCCGAGTCTCGACTGGTAGTCGTCAGGTCCTGTGAAATAAGCAGGTAATTGTCGAATACGGCAGCTCATTTCCTATGTCTCTCAAACATGAAATAAAAAAACATGGCAAAGTATTAGCATTTAGGACAAGCAATAAATTAGGGAAAATGTTAAACACTAGAAAAAATGTTAAGGAATTACAAGAGAAAACCGGAATTTATCAAGTTTCATGTAATGACTGCGATAAAATTTACATAGGTCAAACAGGGCGATCCTTTGGAAAAAGGTTTAAAGAACATCTTCCCAGAGCTACTAAGTCACAAAAGTCAAATTTCGCAGAACATCTTGTGAACGAAAATCATAATTACACTGATTTAGGTAACAATTTAAAAGCGTTACATATCTGCTGTAAAGGAACAACTATGACAACTCTGGAAAATTACGAAATTTATAAGGCCACAAAAACCCGCCCTCAGGACCTACTCAATGATAAAAGTACACTTCAATCAAATTTATTATTTGAAACTTTAATACAACTGGACAGAGACCGACACTTATGATACAGGATGCCTTGGGGTCAGAGTCCAGTTCACAGGACCTGACGACTACCAGTCGAGACTCGGCAAGAGAGATGCTTGCATCATATTACATCCTGTTCGGTTTTTTAATAGTAGGCCTACATGTATTTAATGTTCGTTTTGTGTATGTGTTCTATTTTAAACTTTGACGTGGCCATGTGTGTCGAAAAATCAAGATTTTAACCTTCAAGTTCTGGATCTGATGATGGCAATATATTTGCCGAAACGTACGTAATCCTACTGGATTAACAAAACCCACAAGGCAGTCTGCAGGTAAAGTAACCTTTTATTGATATATTGATTAGATAATATTATTAGATCAATGGTCATTTTCATAGTAGGTTGGTTTATCCGGCCAAATCGTTATCCGGCCAGGGGCTTGGTTCCGTGGTGGCTGGATATGAGGGGTTCTACTGTAGTATCGTGCATTCATGGTTTTCTAACACTAATTACAGTACATACATTATTAAAAAACCTTTACTCCTAACAGTATTGTGTTTAGAAACACAGTAAAGATGATTTTACCTATGTTATTTACTAAGATAATGCTTACTTTAATACTTTAACGTCTTAGCCATGATAAAGAGGTTTTTAAAATTAAGTTAACAGTTTTTAGGAATAAATATTATGTTTGAAACAACAATTCGATAATTTAGTTCAATAACTACTGGTAAATTATTTCTAACTAGGCCTAAACACAAGCCAAGCCTGCCCAACCACTTGAAGATCTTAAGAAAGCAAGACTTAAAGAGGAAACTCAAAGACTGGCTAATGGATCAACCATTCTACTCTCTAAAGGAATTCTTTGATCAAAATTGTTAAGCAAGAGAAAAATTCAAATGACAATCTATGTATATGACACAATAATTGTATTTCTTAAAGAAATCTCAATAAAGAAAATTGATTGATTGATTAAACACAATAACTGGGTGTTCCTATTATCTTAGGCTCAATTAAATTTTCTTAGTATATTTTAAAGCTTCTCCAAAGAATCAAAAGACCTTATTCCAGGCCTAGACCTTATTATTTAGGAGGGTATATATTTAATCTTGTTGGACAATTTGAGAAGATTTTCTTACATTATCAAATACAAAATTTAAAATGAATACAAACAAAAATGGCGGTTCCCAATACTTATGTGATTTAAAAGCCATAAACGTTTATTAAATAAAGTTTTATGTTTGAGTTTTATTTCTTATAGTGTTGGTGGATGTCTACATATTTTTACAACATATTTTATACATATTGTATTTTTACAACATAATAATGTAAAGATTAAATGTTTCTATTTCATACCAGTATGGGTAGGAGAGCTAGTAAAATATAAAACTCATAAAAATGCTGTTGTTATCAATAAGTGATGATAAAAGTTTGCTGATAGTTTGCTAAATAATGCTTATAGTCCAGGCGCTGAGGAGGTTTGAGCATGCATAAAAGTGTAACAAAATTTGACTTTTGATTGTTGCTATGGGTTTTCATCTACTAGGTGTAGATGAAGAAAACCGATGTTGTCGCATTCCTAGGTGGTTAATAACATTAGGGAGAGGGGGTGAAGTTGTGGGGGCCGCCGCGCACAAAATAGCTTATATCTCGAGAACCAAAAGTCCTATGAATACGTTAGACATGTCAAACTGTGCATAAAGATGCGTTCTAAAAAATATTATGTGGTAGCTTAAAGAAAAAACGACGAGCAGTTAGTGAAAGTTAATTTTTTTTTATTTACGATAAGTTCAAACAGGAATATTATGATTTTGTTGCTGTTTAGAACCACTGATTATAAAAAAAAAACTTTGGAGAGTAGTAAGATACAATAGGGAAACAATATTTCAGTAGAATAAAACTATTGCGATACATAACTTATTAGCTATACAATCCTCAGATCCAATAAACCTAACAAGCAAAGGCGTAATATGCGTCGCGGTCATTGCTCTAGCTATTCACTGCGCTCAAAATGACATATCTCGAGAACCAAAAGTCATATAAACATGACAGACATGTCAAACTGTGCAGAAAAATACGTTCTAAAAATTATTATGTAGTAGATGGACAAAACACGAGGAATAATTAGTGAAAATCTAATTTCTTTACAATAAATTACACTTTTTGCATCTTATAATATTAATTTTTACATGGTGAAAATAGCTTGTAAAAGGTTCTTACCTTTTATTAAAAAAACAAATATTCGTTTATAATGTTCTCTACTCAACTCTTTTAACCCTCCAAGTGTCTCTAGTTTTGGTCTTAATGTACGCCCATTTATTGCGCAATTAAAATGGGTTTTATTAAAATGTATCTTAGAAAATTAAAAACAATATAAAGTATACTGTTTTATATATCATTTTGTTTGGAAATTTATGGGCTTCAATGTAACATATAAAACATTACAAAAAAAATGTTCAACAATTTTTGTGGGGTTAACATTTCTCAAAAATTATAAAATAAATGAAAAACATTTATGTTTGCGCTCAATAAATTGTTATAATTTATAGGTCTACAAATATTTTAAAATAGCCATTTTGTTCAGAATTTAATGAGGATTCCAAAAATATGATAATATAAGGAAGTAGGTTTGCAAATGAATAAGTTATGGGCAAAAAACAGATTTCAGTACATAGTGTTTAGCTAAGAATGCATAGCCTAACCATAGCTAGGAATCTGACTGATAATTTACATCAATATCACTACCTACTTCTTCAGGATCATCAACCAGCCCTTCAAAATCACTTAAATCTTCTTATAATGCATCATGTATATCACTACTTTAGATTTTTAACACTAAAACAATGATAAACGTAATAAAACACATCAGTCATCGGTGCGAGGTTAACCAAGCTGTTTACAAATACGCACGTCAGCTGTCTGCTACAATATTTTCGGAACTAAAATGAAAAGCGTATAGAAACAGACATCAGGAGAAAGCTCTGAATCTGCTGAAAAAAACTATACCTAACTCGATCCAGTTCAATTCGATTCAGTCAGTCCCAGAGCCGTCGCCGTAAACAGCGTTTGTGAGTCGCAAAAGCGACACACAAAACTACAGCAGATGTGTTATGAGTCGCTTTTACGACACATAACACTCGGAGGGTTAATTAATTTTATGTAAAACTCATGTACTATGTTAAATCAAAATAACAGTCTGCGCATTTGTCATTTCACAAAGTATTGACTCATTAATGTATGCACAATCACTTCGTTAGTTCATTACAGTGATCTTCTATCATGAGTGTTAATAGTTAGTGTGTGAAGTGGCACTTTGCTGCACACGAGATAAATGTTTACGCACGAGCCGCAGGCAAGTGTAGAAAGTTTCTTGAGTGCAGTGCAACAAAGGTACTTTGCACTCGTGTTACATATTATATTTTTCATACAGTAACTATATTGCATAAAAATAATTTTTCTTACAAACACTATACAACACGTTTTTAGGTTAGGTTAAATCCATGCGTTGATCGAAATGGGAAAAGTTGCACCAGTATCTTTTAAGTGTTACTAACTTATTTTCAATCGTACTCGTGTTACATGCCTAATAAAATCACGCTATAAAAACTATTATTTTTATGATGAAATAGAATTGGGAAATCAAAATAATTATTACACTAGTAATGAATGAAAGTCGTAAAGGATTAAAGTGATAAAACTCAAGAGTTCTTGGAAGTACTTGAGTACAACAATTATTGTGGTGATAAAATATTAATGGATTATGGACTTCTAATGGTTTTTTTATTGCATCACTAACCTAGTAATAAATTATGAAGATGATAAACAAACAACTGATAAGCCTTTTATGTTTTATGTGCTTGGAACCAACTGCCATAGTAAACTGAAAGTAGTTTATTATTATAATAGGTTGTACCGAACCGAGTTTGTACTGCGTAAAATGCTGTACCGAACCGATGACGATGACGGTAATTAAGCTTGTACCTTACTGACTTTTTCGGTACACCGCAGACCCCTAATACATTTATATATTACTAGCAGAGTACCCGTCTTTCGTAGGAGGTTGGCGTGTAAGTATAAAATGCCTATTGCAGTTATATTACTCGCCCTTTGCGTTTGCAATGGGAGAGGACACGTAAGAATTTTGGTTTACGATATATATGTTATAATTTGTGGTATACTATAGTATAGCACATCTACCATCATATAGCCATAATGTTCTACCACTGCACCTAAACAACAGAAAAAAGTAAAGTTCTTGCAGCTTTTTGTTGCTGCTTGGTTTAAATTAGCTGTTGTCATAAATGCAAAAAGAATTACTAGTGCTGCACCCTGTTGGTAAACCTTATAACCTTGCTACTTATATACTTATATATACTATTATACAGGGTGAATTTTAAATGAGTTCCCCCCCTACTTTTTTCTACATTTCTTAAGATATCAACTTCGGACCACGTCAGATCATTGTAGTGTAGTAAGTACTTCATTTTGGCTGAATAAACATTTTTGGCCGCCATCTTGGATCCGCCATATTGGATACAACTTTTTTTTCAAATGTAAAGGTAGAGTTGTGACCCATTGTTTCAAATTAGAATTTTACGTTGATTACAATGCCGCAATTAGTTTAAAAAAATCTTGATCCGTTCTAAAGTTATGAGGACTTTTGATAACTTTATTTTTAGCCCATTTTAACATTGTGCATTTACAAACTAAGACCATAATCTCAAAATAGTGCTAGATAAAGATAAGTATACACCACCATTCATTGTCGACCTATTATCACTTGGTTATGACGGATGTATTTTTTTGGCCGCCATCTTGGATCTGCCATTTTGAAATGTGATAAATTAATTTAAATATGAAGGAGGTGTTGTGACCCATCATTTCAGACTACTTTTTTATGCTGAATTTAATGCCGCAATCCGTTTTGCATTTTCATATTTGTTTTTTTTTAAATATTGGAAATTTAAGTAAGATAATTTTAATATTTCATCAAGAAAGCCTGAGAAACAAAAACAAATTGTGGCATTGAGTTCAGCATAAAAAAGTAGTTCAAAATTATGGGTCACAACACCACCTTCATATTTAAATTAATTTATCCCATCTCAAAATGGCAGATCCAAGATGGCGGCCAAAAAAATACATCCGTCATAACCAAGTGATAATAGGTCGACAATGAATGGTGGTGTATACTTATCTTTATCTAGCACTATTTTGAGATTATGGTCTTAGTTTGTAAATGCACAATGTTAAAATGGGCTAAAAATAAAGTTATCAAAAGTCCTCATAACTTTAGAACGGATCAAGATTTTTTAAAACTAATTGCGGCATTGTAATCAACGTAAAATTCTAATTTGAAACAATGGGTCACAACCCTACCTTTACATTTGAAAAAAAAAATGTTGTATCCAATATGGCGGATCCAAGATGGCGGCCAAAAATGTTTATTCAGTCAAAATGAAGTACTTACTACACTACAATGATCTGACGTGGTCCGAAGTTGATATCTTAAGAAATGTAGAAAAAAGTAGGGGGGGGAACTCATTTAAAATTCACCCTGTATATACATAATATATACTTATATACGCAGTACTATCCTAATAATTAGACCAATTCGTTAATTATGAGGAAAAAATGTGGTTCGGATTCCACAATAAACTGTAGGTCCCTTAGTTGCCATTAGCTGGATGGGCTATTATTAACAGCTGTGTCTAAGGAACATGTCAGCCTGAGTCACTAACCAGACTACAAGATCGCGCCACTCATCCTACACTCATCCTTCACTCATATTTGGGTTAAAATACGCACATAGTGGCGTCCCCATCTTAAATAATTGATTGATAATTGATAATTGAATGAGTTATAACCTTATAACCAGCTATTGAATATCATAGAACCAAATTGTATAGTTGAATCAGCTGGCAAAATTATTTAATTCCTTTTAAATATGAATACTCATAAAGTTAACATGGAAAACTCTATAGAGTGGTTTGAGGCCAAAAGGATTTTTGAGATAAGAATATGTCTATATGTTAATCGGAAATGTGAGCTATCATCATACCAAAATTCAACCCAATCTGACCAGGTGTTAATGTGTGATTGAACTTCAAACAAACAAACACACAAACTTTCACATTTATAATATGATGATTGAAGGGAATTTGATTCCCTACAACATTTTGCCCAGCATTTCTTTTTTGGGTGCTAAGTTAAGGAGATATCTAGTCAAATATAGCCCAAAATGTGAGGAAAAAATGTATTTTCTAAATTTACAAGCTTTTGATAGTGAATAACACAAAAAATAAAGAAGATATAAAAAATGTTACCGAACAAATCTTGTTATTCATTTAATATCCTTTCATTTTGTAGAGTAATTTCTCTAAGGACCCGTGGTTTCTGACTTCATGTGAAAGTGAAGTGATCTTCAATCAATGTTTGGTATTACATTCATATGCTCCTGTTTTTAGTACACGAATATAAAAAACCCCAAATTTAATTTAAATTTGTAAAAAAACTATACAACAACAGCTAATTAATTTTTTATCAAAATAAATAAGAATACATATTAACTTGCTATGTCCTGATACTAACTGGTTGTTGACGAGGGATTGAGGTGTCTGGTCGAGCAGATTGCTGCAAATGTAGCTGAGGATCTCATACTGGCAAAATACAACAACTTCCACCAACTTGTTCGGAGGAAAAGTCTCCTAAACATAAGATATTGTTATTGTTAACTGAGTTAGGTATAGTAATAAACACCAGTAATATTATGGAAATATTGTAAACCTCAGCAGGATGGTAATTAGTGTAACCACCAAACTAACTAGGGTGATATTGAGTTTGACCTATGGCATAAAAAAAGATCCACCCAGGCGTGACAAAAGTACACTGATCCCTGAGGACACCATGACAATGTAAGGAAAGCATTAAACAACTATCTCAAGGGACATAATTTCCACAATATGCAGATTCCTAATGCAGGCTCTCAGTATAGGACAGAAATACTTTGTTTGTACTGTATGTACTTTGATAGTACAGTACCTATACAATTTGATTTTATAAAAACAAGATCGAGCCACTCATTCATACTTGGCTTAAAAAAACTACCTTCGGATGGTCGCCATTTCAATTAAAAGTATTTAAAGTACATATAGCTGGGAGCTAATTAATAGTACAATAATAAACCAATGTCTGACCTACAAGCATGAATAAAAAACAAAGGAAATTTCACATCCATTAATTTCACTATTGGAAACAATAATGCAGTATTAGGACATGTGCAGTAGACTAGTGCCCCTCAGCTAATTACCTAAGACTATCATTATACTTGTAATACCAAACAGTGCAATGGTAATGTAGACAGTATCTTAAATTACCATTTTCCTCAAGGTATAATAGTCTAGTCTAGTTTTAAGCAGCAGACCTGAAAGGAGGATTCCGCTGTTGAAGCTGCCGGAGGATAAGTGTCATGTTGACCTGTGAACCAAGGTCCAACCAGCTGTTTGAGGTATGGTGCGATGTTGCGGCCAGCCTTGCTAGCAAGAGCACGATGAGCAGAGTGTGCGCCCTCGCGTACTCGATGTTCCTCATCAGTTGTGAGTGTGGAGAATAACCGAGGCCAATAAGGCAACACAGGTTTCAGGGCCTCAACATCTGACTCTTGACACAGCTTTTTGAACTCATCTAGAGCCTAAAGCAATGGTGGAGATAGTAGCCTATTTATGTTGTGGTAGTGATAATAGCTTAAGCTAACTGTATACATTTTAACACTAAGCAGCATACCTTGATCAATTAAACTACTTTAAAGTAAAAAGGTAATTTTAAAGACAATGGCAACATCACTTTTTCAAATGAACAGCAGAAAAATCCTCAAGTAAAAGTAATCTATTGTGATTATATATCTGTAAACAACACTGACTGACTACTAATTTATATATATATATATATATATATATATATATATATTATATCTCACAAAATAAACAGCCTAGAATTATCAAATTGGCATAAAGGGACATTCTAAGGTTTGGATGTGCAATAAGACGGGGTTTTACAAAATTTGAGATCCAAGGGGGAGTCAAAGAGGAAAGCTATTTCTGATAACATTAAAAAATGTCAGCCTAAATTTCGGTTTGTAAAAGCTGAACTAATGCTTGAATCTTAAATATGATGCTAAATTGTTAAATCCCTTTTCTACCTAACAGTTTTAGAGAAAAAACTGTTTAAAGGTAAACCTGTAAATATTTACTTTTAGCAAATTTCCTATATAAGTAGGAAATAAGCTATTATCACCGTAGGTCTCATGGTAAGACCTGGACCCGGGACTGATTTAATTTTTCACTTCGAGGTCCCCAACGGCCAAAAATACCAACCGTTCAAATTCATATTGAACAAATTTATATATGAGTTCGTTAGGACTATAACTAGAGTAAAAATGATCTGAATTTTATGGAATTTGGTATAAACATGTAAACCTACATTTATTCTAACAAGTGCCGAATCAGCATGATCGGACTATGGGAACCGTCATTTTTTAACCTAAAAACATAAAGTTTTGCAATTTCTTTCCAAACCATTTTGTAGGGCTAAAAAAATATAATTTTTTACATTCCAGCATTGTTGTAAGCCTGACAGTTAAGGAGAAATTTCCCAAAAAAAAACTGTAAATTTGAAATTCCCATGTTATTCTAATGGAGAATAAGTAAACTGTTGTAGTTTGCTTGTTTGTAAACAAATTTTGATCAAATTTAGAAAATTCATTTATTTTATACTGTACTATTAACATTTAACTATAAAAGCACCTTATGACCTTCCCTGTAGCATCAAACCTAAGTACTCGTTAACATTATGTTACTTAAATAGGGAATATATATGGCATTTTTAAGGAGATATTTGAGTGAAAATTCAATCAGAAAAAATTTGCTTAGTCTACAGGTTACTGTGGCGGGGGTATTATTTCTTCATTTTTGCGCCTCAAAACAGAACAGTTTTCAGTTAATCATGGTTACCAAACTTTCTATTTCATTAATAAGCAATATATTTTATATACTGATTTAATATATATATACAGGGTGGCTGGTCATCAGTGTTACAAAATTTTTTGGCGTAAATACAAAGTAAATGCAGTGTAATGATGCATATAAAAGGTTCCAAGTCCAAAAATTAGCTTCCCAAAGAATTATTTTATGTTTTTCAAAAATAACTATGTTTTCAAACTTAATACAGCTATTTCTCAATTACCTGTAAATGGATTTGAGTAGACAATGTCATTTTTGTGTTCTACATTAAATTTTGAATAAGAATAATATAAAATGACGGAGTATCAGTTGTAAAAACTCCATTGTAAATAGATTCAAAGATAAAAATTAAGATGTTTGAAAAAAATTAAAAAAACATTGGTCTATTGTATTTGTTCACACCCTGTATAAAAGAAAGTGTCCGAATATGTTAAAAACTGCGCCATTTTATAAGCTTTCCAACCATATGCTACACTATTGAGGTTTAGATATTCTGTTGTTTGTTTTAGTGGTTTGAATACCAGAAAACAGGGAACTTTTTTACTGTTAGCGAATTTCCCTATAGGGAAGTAGCTATTACCGTAGGTGGCACGGCAAGACCTAGACCCGGGACCGATTTACTTTTTCATTTTCATGTCCCCAGAGGCCAAAAACACCATTCGTTCAAATTTTTATATATGTATATATATATATACTTATATATATATATATATACGTCCGTGAACGCGATAACTTGAGTAATTTTTGTCCGATTTTGATGAAATTTGGTTTAAAGGTGTAAAGCGGGATAAACATAGAATGAGTTCGCGAACCAGCACGATCGGATCATGGGAACGGGGCTTTACGGGGGGTTTTATGGGGTAAAAATTGGTTTTTCTCACTTTTGACCCTCAGAACACAAAATTTCCCGATTTATCTTTAGACCTTTTTAAAGAGCTTAAAAAAACAAATAATTTAGTATATAAAAGTATTTTTGTTCGATTATTAGTAACGGAGAAAATTAAAAAAAATTTTTATTTAAAATTCCCATGTTATTCTTATGGAGAATATTGTCAAATGTTGTAGTTTGCTTGTTTATGGATATATTTTGATCAAACTTGGCAAATTTATTTATTTTCTACTAAGCTATCAATATTTTACTCAAAAACACACTTTATTAGTTCCCTTGTAGCAGCAAACCTAGGTACTCGTTAAACATAATGTTATTAAAATATATTTAACTGAAAATCAATTCAGACAAATGGAAATTCGCTTAGTCGGCAGGTTTGTTGCGGCGGGGGTATTTTTATTGTTAAAGCTGAAACAAAAATACAACTTTTGCTTAATACATACCGGCTTTCTATGTTTTAAATGTTAAAGACACCCTGTTTTCTGGTATTCAAACCACTAAAACAAACAACAGAATATCTAAACCTCAATAGTGTAGCATATGGTTGGAAAGCTTATAAAATGGCGCAGTTTTTAACATATTCGGACACTTTCTTGTATACAGGGTGTGAACAAATACAATAGACCAATGTTTTTTTAATTTTTTTCAAACATCTTAATTTTTATCTTTGAATTTATTTACAATGGAGTTTTTACAACTGATACTCCGTCATTTTATATTATTCTTATTCAAAATTTAATGTTGAACACGAAAATGACATTGTCTACTCAAATCCATTTACAGGTAATTGAGAAATAGCTGTATTAAGTTTGAAAACATAGTTATTTTTGAAAAACATAAAATAATTCTTTGGGAAGCTAATTTTTGGACTTGGAACCTTTTATATGCATCATTACACTGCATTTACTTTGTACTTACGTCAAAAAATTTTTGTGACACTGATGACCAGCCACCCTGTATATATATATATATAGATAAATAATAATTTATAAATAAAAATACTTTTTAAAAATGCCACGTTTTTATAAACGCACTAAAAAGTATAAAATAATGTATAAAATGTTGAGAGAATAAATACTTGTAAGATTTAAAACAAAAAACGTGGGGCGCATGCTGAAACTTCACCTATTGAACTATTATGATCTATTGCATGCGCCCCACGTTTTTTGTTTTATATCTTACAAGTATTTATTCTCTCAACATTTTAAAAATTATTTTATACTTTTTAGTGCGTTTATAAAAAACGTGGCATTTTTAAAAAGTATTTTTATTTATAAATTATTTTCTAGTTTTTAGTCTTTAATGTGTAAATATGTTAAATCCATTTTATATAGCTTCTTAATACATAAGCAAAACCCAAAACCTTATTATCTGCAATCAAATGTTTTATCTTTACTTTGAAATGATTGTTTTATATTTTTAGAATATCTTGGGAGCAGAACCTGTACCTCTTAACCTCTGCTCTTCTAACTGTCAAATTTAAGTATTTTCAGCTGACTTAAATTAATTTATATGTTTACATCCTTTTAAAATGTAAACATAGAAAATTTGGAAGCAAAAGGGGCGTAGCCCAAGAGAAATATGAAAATTAAATGATATAATATTGCATTGTCATCCATTTGTGAGCTATGTTTCAAGTTTCAAGTCTCTAGCTCATCGAGAACTTCGTTTAAAATTGATATCAAAATTTGTAGGAAAGCGAACTAATACAAACAAGCCCATGGGGCGTAGTCCAAGGGAAATATGAAAAATTAAATGATATAATATTGTAGTGTCATCCATTTATGAGCTATGATTCAAATTTCAAGTCTCTAACTCATCGGGAAGTTTCAAAATTTGCAAGAAAGCGATTTAATAAAAACAAGCCCATGGGGCGTAGCCCAAGGGAAATGTGAAAATTAAATGATATAATATTGCATTGTCTTCCATTTGTGAGCTATGTTTCAAGTTTCAAGTCTCTAGCTCGTCGGGAAGTTAGTATAAAATTGATTTCAAAATTTGTACCGGACAAGAAAGCGAGCTAATAAAAACGTTTTAAAAAGTGGTTAAAAACATACTGTACCTGTGCCTAAGGTACCTATGCATTTTATTGAGTGAAGCTCTTATGAGTTGACTCTTATGCATTTCATCATACAAAACATCTAGCCAACTGAAGCAATCATTTTCACATTTTGCAAGACATTAAGGCCACATCAGTGAGTGCCAGTCAATATGGGTTTAGATGTGGCAGGAATACTTCAATGGGAACTATTGAATTAATAGAGCATATCTTGGGAGCCTTGTATGGATCACAGAAAGTAGGCCTATCTGGTATTTTCTGTGATCTATCCAAGGCACAAGGAAGGTTCCAAGGGAATGTGTATTGCAAGAGATTCTATTAGAAAAGTTTAAAAAATGTAATTTCTCAAATACTGCAATTTCTTGGTTTTATTCATACTTAAATAACCGTAGACAAAGAGTTGTAGTTTTAAGATTTATTAAAATTTCAATTAGTTTGGCAAAGAATTTCAGTTGGTGTTCCCCAGGGTTCAATCCAGAAGTTATGCGTTATATGTGCTCCTGTTTTATTTCATTTTAAACAAGTAAATTTTGATAATTTTTGAAAAAAATTTTATTTTTTGTTTAGTTTTTTTGTTGGGTTTAAAATGTGAAATTAAAGTCCATAGAAGTTAGAGCATTTAAGGAAGGAGTGAGAAAAACTGATATAATTGCATGAAAATCTTTATAGAAGCAGACAAGAAGGGTCTTTTAGTGGAGATAAGGAGGGTGAGAGTTTGACTTTCG